TTCCAGCCTGAAACTCCTGGACAACTGGGACACCTTGAACACCACGGTCACCAAGGTGCGAGAACAACTCGGCCCGGTTACCCAGGACTTCTGGAAGACCCTGGAGAAGAACACAAGGGAGCTGAGGAAGAAGCTGAGGGAGAAGCTGGACAGGGTGAAGACGGAGATGAAGCCCCAGCTGGAAAAATTCCAGGAAGACTGGCAGTCGACGGTGCGAGATTTCCGCATGAAGGTGGAGGGGCTGGGCCCGGAGCTCAGCAACGGCTCGAGCGAGGGGCTGCAGAAGCTGGCCAACTTCACGAGGCAGCGCCTGCGCCTCCACGCGCAGTCGCTGCACCAGGAGGTGGGCAAGTTGGGAGACAGCTTGAGCCGCGAACTGGCCCTGGCGCTGAAGGAGCTCAACACCGGCAACTCCGGCCCGGGGGGCCTGCCAGCCAAGGCGAACCAGTGGCTGAGCTGGCTGAGCGAGCTCCGCCTCCACACCTCGCAGCAGCTGCAGCAGCTGCAGGGCCTCGGCCCCGACCAGGCGCTCACGTGGGAGGAAGTGGTGGCCATCGTGTGGGGCGTCTTGGAGGAGGCCACCAAGACGCTGACCACCCAGTGACGCCGTCTCTGCTGCCCCTCGCCCCCTCCTCGGGTCCCCTTCCCATCGCTCCGTTTCTTACAATAAACGTTTACAAAGCGGGGCGCGCGTGTTGGGTTTTATGCTTTTGGAAGCTTCAGTTACCATTTTTAAACCATAAAACGTTCTCCAAAAAATTCTCTCTTGGGAGAATGGGGACGGGGTGCAGGCCTCTGGAGGGGATGTCGGGGAGCCCTGGCAGGGGCCCGTGACCAGGGGGCAGTCGGAGCTCCTGAAGGCCGGAGAAGGTGCCCGGCGCCTGCTGCTTAGGAGCAAGGTGGTGCGAATCCCTTTCTCAGGGGGATCAAGCAGAAAGGAACCAGGACCAGGCAAGGCGACAGATAATCCATGCCGAGTGGCCAGAAAGAGCCTCAGACAAGCCGAGTCTGAGGAGGGCAGGGAGGCAAGGCTGGTTTTGCTGGGAGCAGGAGGTTCGGGTCCCCAGAGGGATCGCCCGGGGACGGGAGCTTCTCCCAGCCCTCTGGCTCTGGGAGGGCTGCGGTGGACCTCAAGGAGCACTCGGAGGACTTGGGCAGCTTGGAGCAGGGCTGGCCCCTGCTCATGCCGCCTTTATTAATGAGCAGCATTTAAGCAAACACCTCCCTTCTCTTTTCTCACAAGGGCAGCCTATCTGGGACCGGCCACTGTGTCCTCAGGCACAGCTGTGCCAGCCAGACCAGCAAAGGGCCTCCAAGCCTTGCCACCCCCTTCCTGCTAGCTCTGGCCTAAGTCAGAAAAATAATCACCACCTCTTGCAGAGAGTCAGCACATTTTTATTTTCAAGATGTTTCATATCCACCGTCTCACTGCATCCTTCCCAAGATTCTGGGTAAACCGCCATTAAACCCGTGGTAGAGGAGGAAACTGGAGCTCGCAGACGGGAAGTCATTTGCGAAGGTTGAAGAGCAGGATGGGAGAGATTGCCCTTTTCAGACCCACTTGCCCCCGGGCATCCATGGTTATTCAACAGAACCAGCGTGTGGCCAAGGCGCTGGCGTCCGTCTGCACGCGCACCCGTGTCCTCAGGCGCACAGCCCAGCTGGCAGCCAGCCCTCTTCACAGTCAGGGCCATACCCTCCGCATGCCCGCGGAGCCACCAAGCTTCAAAGACCTGGGCGGGGCCTTTCCCCTTTCTCCCCTCAGGGCTTGTTTTGCCCCTTCATACAGGCCACTGGGTAATAACTGCCCCTCCTCCGTCTCCAGTGTATCTTAACAACTCTTGGAAAAAGGAACAGGCTTTTTAGTTCCCAACCATCCTGGTTCCTAATCACCTACAGCAGTAGGTGTGAAGCCCAGATTTGGGTGAGAACATTTCCCAGGTGTGGGTGCTAGGGTCCCTGGCCCAGGTAGATTTTCAAAGAGACAGCAGAGGTCTCCAAGTGGGGCTGGATATACAGACCCCACCGAGGTTTGTCAGGGAGTCCTCCGACACCTGGCAGAGGGTAAGTAAGGTTTTGTTCTGTGTCAGCTGAGCAGAAGGTGGGCAGCTGACCTGGGCTTGAGGTCCGGCTCTGCCATTCGCTGACTGTGACCCTGGGCCAGCGCTTTCACTTTCCTCAGCCACAGTGATTTTACTGGGAGAGTGGGGAGGCTGCTCAGGTAGAAAGTGGTTCTGGAACTCTGATGAAAACACCTGTTGGGCGGTGGGGACACAAGCAAAGCACTCTCTGTGGGTGACCTGGGGTTCCTTCTTAGTTCCCAGGACACTGTCACCCCCTACTCCAATCCTGTTCCCAAGGGGACAATCAGTTCAAACTGTAGCAACTGATGACAACCATTTACCAGGTACCTTTGATGTGCCAGGTGCTATGCACTGTCTCATTTCACTCATTCATTCAACAAACCTACAATGGATGGGGGATTATTGTGCCCAACTGAAGCTGATATAACTTGATGAAGCCGAGATTAGAGCCTAGTCGTATCTTACTCCAACCATGACTCCAGCGGACTCGCCCTCAAGTGTGGTGGTGAGGGCCAGGCCGCCCGGGGCGGGGAAGGGGGCCGCAAGTCAGCTCCAGAACTTTGGTGAACACACATAGTCTCAACTCTGACGATGACATAGAAGTGCAAGACACAGCCTGGCACAGGTCACATGTTCGAGGCCTGTTGTACAGCATTTGACAGTTTATCAGTGTTGTCAGACCGAGCATCCTGTTTGCTCCTCTACACAAACCCGGCGAGGCGGGCGGGGTGAGCAGGGTCATTCCCACCTTCCCGAGCACGCTCGGCCCTAGGCCTGCTCATCCCGCGCCCGCCTGCGGAGCAGCCCCCCATGCCCAGCCCAAACACACATGGCACGTGTGGGACGTCCCACTCACAGCAGCTTCTTGTCCAGCTTTATTGGGAGGATGGCATGCCTGGGGGTGGGCCAGGTCCGAGGGTGGGGTGGGAAGACACTGAGAATGCTGTCCCTTTCAAGCGAACTTCGGGGGCAGCCCTGCAGGCTGCGGGACCCAAGGAGCAGGCAGGATGGGTGGGCAGGCAGACTTGGGGTGCTGAGGCCTCAGGTGGCCTAAGGGGCCACAGTTGGTGTGGTCTCAGGGTCCGGATTCCAGAACCTGGACAACTTGCTCCAAGACTCTTTCAGGGAGCTGAAGCCATCTGTCATCCAGCTGCTGAGGAGATGAGTCAGGGAGGGCAATAGAGGAGAGGGTGAGAGCTCATCTGCAGGCAGCAGCTGCCCTGGGGCCCACATATCCCCACTGCCTCTCCCCATCTCAACCTCACCCATCAACACCCCTGAGACCTCAGGCAGAGTCCCCTAGGGCTCCACCCAGGCAGAGGAGCTGCAGGAGGTGGTGATGGGCCCCTCACTCGAGTCCAGTGCTGGCTTCTCCAAGCTGCCCAGGTGTCTGGGCCCCACGTTCTGAGGCGAGCAGGGAGGAGGGACCGGGGGGCAGACGTGGCAGTGGGTCTGCCGTTCTATCTGAGGCAGATGCTGCCACTAGCATGACAGAGTCTGGTGGCTTGGAGAGGGAGAGGCAGAGGAAAACTGTCTCTCATTTGGAAAGTCATCATAGGATTTATTAGCTGTGATCTGGGGCAGGTCACAACCTGTTTGAGCCTTAATTTTCTCATCGCAAAATGAAGAGAAGAATCCCTGCTGCACAGGCAGTTCTGGGGACTGAGAATGTCTGCGATGCCTCCAGGGCAGGAGAGGTGGAGGGGAGAGNAGGAGGGGAGAGGGCTGGGGCAGGGCAGGGGAGAGGAGGGGAGAGGGCTGGGGCAGGGCAGGGGAGAGGAGGGGAGAGGGCTGGGGCAGGGCAGGGGAGAGGAGGGGAGAGGGCTGGGGCAGGGCAGGGGAGAGGAGGGGAGAGGGCTGGGGCAGGGCAGGGGAGAGGAGGGGAGAGGGCTGGGGCAGGGCAGGGGAGAGGAGGGGAGAGGGCTGGGGCAGGGCAGGGGAGAGGAGGGGAGAGGGCTGGGGCAGGGCAGGGGAGAGGAGGGGAGAGGGCTGGGGCAGGGCAGGGGAGAGGAGGGGAGAGGGCTGGGGCAGGGCAGGGGAGAGGAGGGGAGAGGGCTGGGGCAGGGCAGGGGAGAGGAGGGGAGAGGGCTGGGGCAGGGCAGGGGAGAGGAGGGGAGAGGGCTGGGGCAGGGCAGGGGAGAGGAGGGGAGAGGGCTGGGGCAGGGCAGGGGAGAGGAGGGGAGAGGGCTGGGGCAGGGCAGGGGAGAGGAGGGGAGAGGGCTGGGGCAGGGCAGGGGAGAGGAGGGGAGAGGGCTGGGGCAGGGCAGGGGAGAGGAGGGGAGAGGGCTGGGGCAGGGCAGGGGAGAGGAGGGGAGAGGGCTGGGGCAGGGCAGGGGAGAGGAGGGGAGAGGGCTGGGGCAGGGCAGGGGAGAGGAGGGGAGAGGGCTGGGGCAGGGCAGGGGAGAGGAGGGGAGAGGGCTGGGGCAGGGCAGGGGAGAGGAGGGGAGAGGGCTGGGGCAGGGCAGGGGAGAGGAGGGGAGAGGGCTGGGGCAGGGCAGGGGAGAGGAGGGGAGAGGGCTGGGGCAGGGCAGGGGAGAGGAGGGGAGAGGGCTGGGGCAGGGCAGGGGAGAGGAGGGGAGAGGGCTGGGGCAGGGCAGGGGAGAGGAGGGGAGAGGGCTGGGGCAGGGCAGGGGAGAGGAGGGGAGAGGGCTGGGGCAGGGCAGGGGAGAGGAGGGGAGAGGGCTGGGGCAGGGCAGGGGAGAGGAGGGGAGAGGGCTGGGGCAGGGCAGGGGAGAGGAGGGGAGAGGGCTGGGGCAGGGCAGGGGAGAGGAGGGGAGAGGGCTGGGGCAGGGCAGGGGAGAGGAGGGGAGAGGGCTGGGGCAGGGCAGGGGAGAGGAGGGGAGAGGGCTGGGGCAGGGCAGGGGAGAGGAGGGGAGAGGGCTGGGGCAGGGCAGGGGAGAGGAGGGGAGAGGGCTGGGGCAGGGCAGGGGAGAGGAGGGGAGAGGGCTGGGGCAGGGCAGGGGAGAGGAGGGGAGAGGGCTGGGGCAGGGCAGGGGAGAGGAGGGGAGAGGGCTGGGGCAGGGCAGGGGACAGGAGGGGAGAGGGCTGGGGCAGGGCAGGGGAGAGGAGGGGAGAGGGCTGGGGCAGGGCAAGGTGGTGAAGGGGAGAGGACTGGGGGCAGGCAGGTGTTGCAGGAAGGACAGACTTCTGGTCAGGTTGGGCCCTGGTCTCGGAGCAAGATAGAGGCACACATACTCAGGCCTGAAATCAGGCCCGGTGGGGAGTCCCAGCCACACTACCAGCCAGGCTGTCAGAAAAGAAAAGGGAAGGGAGGACTCTAATGGCCTCCTCAGAGCCACACATGGTACCCGAGAGAGAAACAAGGGACAGCAAAGGGAGGAGAGGCAGGAGGAAATGGAGGATTCTGTCCTCTCTCCAGGGCACCCTCGCACAGTCCTGAGGGACCCTGCTGTGCAGACCAGGGCGTGGAGGCTCAGAGAGTGCAGGTCCTGGCAGGTGGGGAGCCCCAGCCCTTTGCCCGGGCTGTCGCCAGTCAGGGGGGTGGAGCTGAAGGCCGGTGGGCATGGGCGCGAGGGCGTACCTGGGCGGCAGGGCCACGTGGGACTCCACACTGGTCAGCGCGTCCTTTATGTAGGAATTCAGGACGTCCAGCAAGGAGCCCTCCTCCTCCACAGCTCCTGCAAGGACACGAGGCTGAGTGGGGCAAATCCGCCTCTGGGGAGTCCTCTGCTCCTGCTCTGCCACCCAGCAGCCCCGGGGCTACCCAGACACCTCCCGAGGGTCCTCTGGGCAGAAACCTGCCCCCACCTGTCCCCAGCCCCAGTCCCCACACTGCTTACGGGCAGAGGCGAGGAGCACCAGGAGGACAGCAACAAGGAGAGCCCGGGGCTGCATGGCACCTTCGCTCCTGCAGGGAAGTGTCTGGTGAGGCGCGTTCCAGGCCCCCAGGGCTGTGGCTGAGGCGAAACCTGAGCTGGCTCAGGCCAGGGGGAGCGGGGCCTGCTCTGCTAACCGCTAACGGGGCCTCCGGAGACACAGCCCAAAGGGAGGGAGGTGTGAGGTGGAGCAGAAAACCCACCAGATCAGGAATGAGGACACCTGGGTTCTGGTCCAGTCTCTGCCACTAACATGCTGTGTGACGTGGGCTGGATTCTGCACTCTCCAGACCTCAGTCTTCAGTCTGGGAGAGGACTGGGGTGTTTAAAGCTCTCAGTCCCAAACATGCAGATGAGGAAAGTGTGCAGTCCTGGAGCAGTTCCAGTCCCAGCTCTACCACTACACTCTACGTAGCTTCCAGCAAGTGACCTCCCCTCCATGGGCCTCAGTTTCCCCAGTGTGCAATTGGAGGTGGGCCACTTATCAAGCCCTAAGACTTCCTGGGCTTCAGCAAGCTCCTTTCCAGGCTCTGCCGGCTGGGCTGTCAGGGACCCTCCTCTGCCCTTCTCCATCCTGCTCTCCTGTCCCCCCCTCGCCCCCAGGGACATTACCTGGAGTAGCTGCTTCTTGGGAGGAGATGAGTAGGCAGACAAGAGGGTTCTGACCGGTTTTATATTGTCCCCAGGGAAGTGGGCACTGAGGATCTGGTGAGCTGAGCAAAGGTCACCAGCTGATCAGTCTAGACCAAGGTCTGAGGCAGGGTGGCCAGATGCAGCCAGGCCTGCTGGGAGAGTTGGGAAATCTCTAGAAGGCTGTGGGCGCCCATGCAACTCTCCTGTTACCCGTGTAGCCCAGATGGGTTCAGGAACTGGGGGTATATGGAACCTGGAAGACCCCAGTCCTCCCTAGCAGCCAGCTCCCCTGGGAGAGGCTGGTGAGACAGGAGGGGGGCTTACGGGTAACCCAGGGGACTCTGGGCCCACCTCTGCCCTTCACACTTGGTCCCTCCCTTCCCTCTCCTCAAGCCCTGAAAACAGCCAGGACTGGGGTGTGGGGTGGGGGTGAGAGGATAATGTCTTTAGACTGGGGAACAACTCAGGGCATTGGGATGGGGTGTCTGGAGGAAGCCACAGAGGCCTATGGGCTGAGGCTTGTGTGGGGAGGGTGACCCAGTTGAGTTCACACAGACCTCTCCCAGCATCTCCAACTCTGGCTTCAATCCCAGTGCTGCTTACCCAGAAGCCTTCCAGAGCCAGCCCAGGGCAGGGGGGGTGGGAGAAGGGTCAGGGACACTCTGAGTCCAAGGCCTTTGCCCCGCCCCTCCT